ATACGACAAATCGTACATGAGACGCTACACAAACGTCATCACCTATGAATACGAAGACTCATTAAACGATAAATGAGCGCTACCATGAAGTGAATGAAGAAATGTTTCGATGTAAATCGATGATAACAAGCTACTGTACAATCAATCGAAAGTACTTCCTTATAAATGATGACAAATCCCATATTCTGAACCGATGAAAGCCATTTAATGTTATTTACGAGTCATTGATGGACTATGTGAACGATGTGAAGATGTTTTGAAACAAACTCTAAATCCCGAACTATACCTATCGTGAAGGTGATGATTCGAAACTACAAAGGCTATTGAAGAACTTTCAATCAAAGAAGGAATGTTGTTGAATAATGACGAACAATCGAGACTTGTTGGATACCTTGCTTAATCTAAGATTATTAACCTCTTGAAGAAAGAACGAGTTTGATAACATCGACAGTTTGAGATTACATGGATAATGACGTAATTATGAGTTAACCCATTGAGCATGACATGGTCATGATTAAGTGAGATCACTACAAAATGTTGAACGTTTGACCTTAGAAGAATTTCGAGGACGAAATTCCTTTAAGGGGAGAAGAAATGTAACGCCCCAAAATATACCCTAAAATTTATTGAATTAAATATTCAATTAAACAAAATTTGTTTTGATTAAAATAAATTGTTGTTGGGCTTTGGGCTGAAATAAAATATATATTGATATCCAATAAACATAATTGGGATAAATCTCATAGAGATAAATCCAACATGTTGATTTATTGTGTGATCTTGATTGAGAACCTGAGTACAGACCCAAATTAAGAATAAATGAAGAAATTGTTTATAATGTGAACTTTGAAATGATTTATTGAAATAAATCATGGAAATAAATAATATGAAGTAAATGTGAGAACCTTTTTGAATAAAGGTAAATTAAACCAATTTTGACTCTGTCAAAGTCAACCACCCAAAAATATGATGTCGGAAAAAGTATAACGAATAAATATAAAAATTATATCGTTAGATAGAGTTTAACTGTCTGATCGCAACGGTGCAATCGGATTTCAATTCGGAGAAAGTTGGACCAAAAAGTGTCCCCGACTGGGACCAAATTAGTCCCTGATGCGTTTGGAATCGGAGAAATATCGCAGCCCGCTCCACTAGCCGCCCGAACAGGAAACCAGACATCACCCTTGGAAGCATCCTTCACCATTTTCCTATATAAGTACCATCTCCATTCCTTCAATTCCTCACCATTTCTTACAAACTTTCTGTCTATTCTGTTGCTGGGAGTGAGGAGAACGCAGTGGTGCTGTCGTATTGGTGTGAGGTCGCTGGAGATAGCTACAATTCTCGCCGGAAGTTTTGCCGGAAAATCTTCAAAACCTCCATTAAGCTTCGAGGTAAGCCCGTAGATATATCTAGTGATTAGAATGTTTGTATAGATCCTGTTTACGTTCATAAACGGTCGTTTGGTTGAGTTTTATGTTTGACATGTTTGAAAAATCAAGAATCATAAACCAAGAAATTGTTGTTAAAACTACAAATTAATGACTCTAAAATGATCTGTGAGCATTGAGGAACATTCCAATATAATTTAATTGAAGTTTGGTAATTAAAAATGATAATGTTAAAAATTGAACAGAGGAAGAAGATGATGAACAGTGGTCGAAAATCGAATATTTCCTTCCTAATAATCGATTAAAAATTTGTTCAGATAGTCAGTATATTTAAAAATAATAATAATCGATTATTTTAATCATAAAAATCGATTTAACGTTATTAATCGGGTATTTTAATTATAAAAATCGATTTTTAAGTATGAATTGATTATTTTAAATATCAAAATCGATTTTTAGTAATTAATTGATTATTTAAAATATAAAAATCAATTTTTAGTAATTAATGGATTATTTAAAATGTAAAAATTGATTTTTAGCAATTAATTGATTATTTAAAATATAAAAATCGATTTTTAGCAATTAATTGATTATTTAAAATATAAAAATCGATTTTTAGCTATTAATGGATTATTTTAAATATAAAAATCGATTTTTAGGTATTAATTGATTATTTTTGAAAAGAAAAATCGATTTTTCTTAAGTCCAGATCCTGTTCTGAAAATATTCGGAAAATATATGCTCTAAAATCCACCAATTGATTATGATCATTGGAAAAATGATTTACCATAATAAAAATGATGTTTTTAACAAATAAAAATGTTATGTGATGCATGATGGTACGTTAGGGTGTTAACACCCGAAGCTAGGCCGCTAATTGTTATTGAATATTATGTTGATTGATGATTATGGTAATGATTATTGATTGATTATTATGATGATTGAATCTTGATGAATATTCTGATTAAAAATGATAATTGTGAATGATTAAATCATAATGAATATATTGATGATTGTGAAAATAAAATGTATTGTTAAGGGTATCTAGAAGACCTCTAAGATATACCCATATTNAATTTAGATTCAGTTTATATGGATGTTCGATGCATTAGATATGCTTACTCAGCTTCAACGCTGAGCGTGTAGTATGTTTTATTTGCTACACGCAGGTTAATGAAGTGACGTGATCCTGGAGGCAGACGGAGGTGAGATTGTCGGAATGGATGTGATGGTTTTGAATTAAAGAACATAAATAAATTATGTTTGTGATTATGATTGTTAAGCTTCCGCAATATTGAAAACTCCGTACTGTTTATATTATGAAAAATATTATTGTGATAAATAAAAGTGTTTGAAATGTTTTAAATTTTTACGATTACCAAGTTAATACTTTAATTTGAAAGGGGCTGTAGACCTGGACAGATTAGGGTGTTACAGCTCCTTGCGCACATCCCCTTGGGGGAGTGCAGGTTGGAGCATGGCGATCAAGGCTTGGTCGCCCGCCCCTTGGACGTCCCTGGCCTCCTTCTCCCACCTATTAATGAATTCCCGGAGCTGCTCGCCCTTCCGAATCTTTACATTGAGCAAATGCGAGAAGGGGAGCTTTTGTCTTCGGCTGGACGCGAAGTGCTCCAAGAACTTGTGGGCCAGGTCGTTCCACCTGTCTATCGATCCCTTGGGCAACTTTTGGAACCACTCACAAGCCTGCCCTTCCAGTGTCGCCAGGAAGCATCGACACTTGATTTCTTCTGGATATGCATACATGACCACGTTCGCTCCGAAACGAGCAAGATGGTCCTGGGGATCGGCCGTCCCATTGTACGCTTTGATTTGTGGGATTTTGAAGTTGTCCGGGAGAGGGCAGGACATTATCCTTCTAGAGAAGGGTGTTACTTCACTGAAGACCGCCTGGCGGTAGGGGTTTTGGGCGTCCAACCGCTTCTCCAGTCACTCATACATTTTCCATAGCTCGGCTGCTTCCTTATCCTCGACCGCCTTTCGTCGCTCCTTTGAGCCGATCTTGGAGGTCGCTGTGGATTCTCCTCTTTTCTCCTTGAGTGTATCCCTCAGGTCGCCTCTACGGGCCGACCGAGTGTCCTGCAACCGTTCGAACGCAGAGGTCCGGGGCTTCTTTGACTTGGGGTCTCCCAAGCGATCAAAAGCAGACATTCGCTCGAAAGAGGACGATTCATCTTCCTCGTCCAATCTGGACAGCGCATCCTCCATCACGAGCTTCCCATTAGGCTTGGTCGCCTTCTTTTTCTGGGACCGCCTTACTTTCTTCTTTTTCCCTTGAGAGCCCGTAGGTCCAGCCTTCCCGCCTGCGGGCCCCCAGCCACATCTTCCCCCACAACCTCGCGATTGGGCGTAAGGGCTGCCAGCACCTCCTTGAACTGCTCAGCTGTGATTCCGACCCTCTGGATGAGGGCCTCTACCTCCCCCGTGGTGATGGGGGGTGCCAGCCTCCAGTGGCGATGTTTTCTCCCTGGTGGGGAGCTCCAATACCTGCGTTGGCGTTGCTGCGTGTTTGCACCATCGTCTTTGTGGAGGATTACCTTTGAGTATGATTCTCGAACTCTCAATGAAAGCACCAATTTGACGGACAATAAATCCACTAAATGACCCGATTCAGAAAGCGGATCGTAAGAACAGAATTAAGAACAAGAGTTCGAGAATTGGGTATGTATTATTAGCTTGATTTTTTTCCCCCAGACCCCTTTCATATCTCCTCTATTTATACATGAACTCTAGACAATTAAGGTAATGCATAATCAACGGGGTCTATCCCGTTAATGGCGCGATCCTCTTTTTCCGGCTCCATCTCCGTCATTCTGTTCCGTTTCCTTCTCTGAGTTGACTCTGCCAACTGTTCGTGGACTGGAATTGGCCGGGCTTAACTCCATGGGCCGGCCCAAGCCTAGATATCCTCCAAGCGCGTGACCCAAGTTGTTGAAATGGTTCATTTGGGCCGCCCGTTGGATATCGGCCCATCACCGAGTTCTTGAGATATCCAATAAATTTGTGATATTTCACTTTGTGGTTTGATGCCAATGGTTGAAGACTTAATCAAATTCAGTGATATGGAAATTGGATATCTTGATCGGAAATGTCAGAGTCAAGTAAGAAATTCTCAAAGCAATTGAAGATCCTCTAATCCGGAACTCTACATGATAACCGGATGTCTCGCTACAACCCGCTGAAGGCTAAGTCATCCAAATCGGAAGACTAGCGCGGATCACTTTCTCAACTGGAAGTCTATGAATGACTTTTCTGGATTTGTCAGCAAAGAACCGGATGCCTCAAAGAAAGACCGGAATTCTCAAAAGCAGATAAGTGAGAAAAAGACTTAGAAAATTATCTAAGTCTTGAATGAAGAAATTCTACCCGTTGGTAAGGAAAAATCAATCTCTTGATTTTCAATGGCTAGATTGAAGATAATTATGCTGATTCAAGAACAAATGACTTAAAGACAAAGTCTGGACCTCTCAAATTAAAGAGCTCGCCCAGAATTCCTAAACAAGCACTAGAAGACAAACTTAGTAAGGAGCTACCATAATTCTTGAACAACCGCTAGAAGACGGATTCTGTGGAAAAAGGAATCCATTCTCAAACAATTGGGTACGTCCAAACACCCATTCCAATGAAGAATCTTCAATCACAATCTTCATTCAAAATTGAAGCCAGCAAATGTAACAGATAGTCTATTTTGATTCAACGGATAGATTACCCAATCCAGCTATATATAGCATCCTTGGAAGACTGGAGAAAAATATATGTGATAGAAAGAAGAGAACACAACGAAGCAATCTCAAACTACAAAGCTATCACATTCACAGTTAGCCCAAAAAGCTTGATAAAGAGAGATTTCTAAACTCCTTATCCAGAAGCAAACTTCTCCTCCTTCCAAAGAACTATAGTGTAAACACTTGAAGGTTTCCTTGCCTCAAGTACCACACCACGTTGAAGGATATAACTTTTAATCAAACTTCTTGATTAAAAGGGGGTACATCAACTTTCTTACAAGTTGATCTTGCAAGTCCTATTGTTCGGATCTTGCAGTTGTTGAAGAAGCGTGACCTTCGAAGGAACAACAAAGCCAGCACGAGTGCAGTAGCAACATTGGCCTTGCGAAGATATACCGTGCAGAAATTCACACAAGTGTAATTGTTGGTTCATTATTCAACAACCAACTACATAGTGGATTTTGAGGACGTAGAAGGATTACCCCACCTTCGAACCTCGTTAAAGTTTGCGTGTCTCTCTCTTTTATCTTTACT